ATGGGGATTACAGTTTTTTTTGTTTTAAAAATATATGTTGCATTTAAAATAGATGGGATTTTTGATATTTATGAAATAAATGGAGAGAAGTATTTCATTTTATATTTAAATAAATGGGGATTAATGGTATTTATTAGAAAAAAAAGAAAAGTGTTATTTAAGTGTTTTAGGATAACTAATTTTCTAAAATGCATAAATTATATTTATCACTTTTCCCATTGTAAGATTTGGCTTTAGCTATAATATCCCATATAATAATGGGTGTATTACCATCATTATTTAAATGCCAGAAATGTTTTGAGAGAACACTGCTGTTCATGTATCTTACATTGCCTAAAGTCATTCGATGATGATAGAAACAAAATTTCCAAAGATTTTCAGTGGAACCAAAATAAAATGCATGAGACCTAATACCTGTGTGTGTATATATATATATATATATATATATATATATATATATATATATACAGATAGATAGATAGATGCGCACACACACACATACACATATACATACATAAAGGTATTATGTCGTCTGGCAAGTTGTCTGTTGGTTACACAAACATAGTTGTTTTTTTTATTAGTAGTATATATACATATATATAAAATATAACCATATTATTTAAAATTTGTTATATTTATTGGAGAAGTGCTCAATATTGTCAATAATAATTGATACAGCTGAGATGAAAAGAAACATAAACTGAAGCTTTGCATTTTCCTTTATTTTTTATTTGATGCAAATTTATTCAGTTTTTGGCTATATGGTTTCTTTTTGTCACAAAATATTGGAAAAATTTTCCTATTCTTGTACAAAGTTTTTAAGCACACTTGCTCTTGGTTTCCTGGTTATACAGAATGAAAATGGGCATATGTGCTTCCCCTTCATGATGTCGGTGATCAACGTTCTCTACAACTTCCTATCATTTTTAGCTCAAATATTTGGCTCCTTAATATTCCTTCCATTGACTGTTCTGTCGTCCATTTACAGAAGCTTGGTAAGTAGGTTACTTACTGTTTTCTTCTGCTCTTCATGCCTTCTATATGTCCTGTGAGTGTCAAATTCTGTAAACCTTCTTTCCTCATTATGCGTCCCAGAAATTTACAGAAGCTTGTTAAGTAGGTTACTTGCTATTTCCTTCTGCTCCTCTTTGTTTTTCTTCAGAAATACTCCAAAATAAGAAACCAAACAATATGTAGAGAAGTCATACAAATGGCATCAAATGTAAAGAAAACATGAAAAAACTATAAAAATATAATAATGTCTAAAGAAAGATAAAAAGATTCCAAAATAATTATACACTGATTGTGTTCATAAGTTGATGGACATCTGTAATTCAATTTCAGTACTTCCTTGATTTTGACATCTCCAATTCATAAATTACAACTTGGGCTGTTCCTCTGGCTCACAGCTATACAATCAGTATTTTTTTAAAATTGATGGTTAGTCCTTTCTTCATGTTTTCTTTTGCTACCTTGTCTAGTGGTTCCTGCCTGTTCTTTTTCTTGCCATACAGGTTTCATGTGAAGGTGAGATATTTTATTTCTTGACACACTCCGTTCCTCTTTCATTACTCAACACTTCATTTGCTTATGTTTTAGTTGTTCTTCATTTAATCATTCTCATTCTCCTAAACCTATTTGCCAACTATTAAATGTCTATTTCTATTTGAACAAGTGTAAAGGACAGGTTTAAATAAAAATGATGATAATCTAGTTTCAACATTTGAGTTGGTTTTAGATGTTGTCATAGTGTCAAATCCATAGGGAGACTGGAGTTACTTTGGTAGACATTCTCAAGATGCTTATCAGATAAAATTGATTTCTTAATTTTCTCTACTGAGAAGACATTAATAATATTCATAAATGAAACTATAAATTGAAAAGATATTGTACTTTATCAGTATTTATTAAAATTTTATTTATGAAGCTAAGATAAAGGTTGTCAAATCTCTACACTCAAGTGGAGAGATTTGACAACCTTTATCACAAAATCCATGTGACTTAAAAAAAGTCACATGGATATTGTGCCTTCAAGTGGCAAAATTTTAAAAGGCTTTGATATCAGAAAGGTCATTCAGAGAAAATTTTTCTTCTCTTGTCTCTATCTTACTTTCTCGTTATAGTCAGTTGAAGCTTTCCTTCTTATATCCCTATGGTCAATTGAAGCTTTCTTTCTTATTTCCCTATGGTCATTTAAAGCTTTCCTTCTTATTTCCCTATGGTCAGTTGAAGCTTTCCTTTTTATTTCCCTATGTCCAGTTGAAGCTTTCTTTCTTATTTCCCTATGGTCATTTAAAGCTTTCCTTCTTATTTCCCTATGGTCAGTTGAAGCTTTCCTTCTTATTTACCTATGTCCAGTTGAAGCTTTCCTTCTTATATCCCTATGGTCAATTGAAGCTTTCTTTCTTATTTCCCTATGGTCATTTAAAGCTTTCCTTCTTATTTCCCTATGGTCAGTTGAAGCTTTCCTTCTTATTTCCCTATGTCCAGTTGAAGCTTTCTTTCTTATTTCCCTATGGTCATTTAAAGCTTTCCTTCTTATTTCCCTATGGTCAGTTGAAGCTTTCCTTCTTATTTATTTCCTTCTATGTATGGTCAATTGAAGCTTTCCTTCTTATATCCCTATGGTCAATTGAAGCTTTCCTTTTATTTCCCTATGGTCAGTTGAAGCTTTCCTTCTTATATCCCTATGGTCAATTGAAGCTTTTTTTTATTTCCTATGGTCATTTAAAGCTTTTCCTTTTATTTCCCTATGGTCCTTTTCTTATATTTCCCTATGTCCAGTTGAAGCTTTCCTTCTTATTTCCCTATGGTCATTTAAAGCTTTTTTCTTATTTCCCTATGGTCATTTAAAGCTTTTTCTTATTTCCCTATGGTCATTTACTTCTATGTCCAGTTGAAGCTTTCCTTCTTATATCCCTATGGTCAATTGAAGCTTTCTTTCTTATTTCCCTATGGTCATTTAAAGCTTTCCTTCTTATTTCCCTATGGTCAGTTGAAGCTTTCCTTCTTATTTCCCTATGTCCAGTTGAAGCTTTCCTTCTTATTTCCCTATGGCCAGTTGAAGCTTTCTTTCTTATTTCCCTATGTCCAGTTGAAGCTTTCCTTCTTATATCCCTATGGTCAATTGAAGCTTTCTTTCTTATTTCCCTATGGTCATTTAAAGCTTTCCTTCTTATTTCCCTATGGTCAATTGAAGCTTACTTTCTTATATCCCTATGGTCATTTAAAGCTTTCCTTCTTATTTCCCTATGTCCAGTTGAAGCTTTCTTTCTTATTTCCCTATGGTCAGTCATTTCTTTTGTGCCTTTGGTTATGTCTAAACCAGGAAATCAGCCTTCATTGCCACAAACTCACTACAGTAGTAATGATGTGTTAACTAAATTGTTAGCCACTTTTTGATGACAAAGCATCTAAGTTAGTTCATAAGCTTAGTCTGGTACAAGGCCATAAGAGTGAAGCACTTAGTGAGAACTGAAGTTACCAAACAATGGTCTATTTAACAAGATTGTTCAATATTACTCTTTTAACAAAGTGTCCCATAGTTTTTCATCTACAGAAGAAAAAAGAATGATATAATTCAATCTTTACTTTTTAACTTGGAGTTACTGCATTGATTTTGATCATGTGTAAATAGATAGACTGGTTTTCAATGACTCTTTGACCTTTTCTTTATTTGAAATAGATGATAGCTGACATAACTTATTTCTTACTTATGGTAATCTCTTGTAGCCTGACAAAGATGAGATTCTGTACTGTCTGTGGTCTAGAATATGACTTTGGAAACTAAAGTTGGATGTGCAGATTTGGTTGCAGGTATTTCATTTCAAAATAAATCAATTAATATACTTTTGTTTTTCATTTTTTTTTTTGAGTATTTGTTACAGAGTATTAGGAAGCTGACATCAGGGATTTTAGAAACACAAAAAAGAACAATTTCAAACCAATGTGTCTATAACTGACCAGAGGTTTCAAGTTTCACTCTTTACTTCGAACTGACCAATGATGATAAATACACATTTGTAATTAATCGGACACTTTTCCATTTCCTAACAACAGTCAGGTAGCATTGCAAGTATTTTGACCTTTTTTTCCTTTTTGATTATGTCAAAAAGCCAAATGACATTCAATTGTGTCATATGAATCTTTCAAATGAGGAAGGCATCATGACTAATTTTCAAGGCAGATTTTTTGTCTAGAAGATCAGCATTTGAAATTCTAGCACTAAATTAAACAATTGACCAGCATTTGAAATTCTAGCACTAAATTAAACAATTGACGTCTAAAATTTTTTGTTTCAATCATTTCACCCCAAGCAAGGTAATAAAGCCACAAATGCACAAGGGGTTACTGAGTGTGAGAGAATATGAGAAAAAAAAAATTATTAAGGAGATGGAAAAAATTAAAACTCTTTCAATCATGAGACAAGAAAATTATTTTTTCTCTCTTTTGAAAAGAAAGCTAAAATAGCAGAAAAATCAAAATGGCAAATTCATTAGTTTATTGGAACTTTATGAAGATCTGCTAAGCCTAAATGATTGGATGATGACACTTGTCAAGACAAAGCCTATATCAATAAATTTTTCTTCATATGGAATATCAAAAGTATTTTTGTTTATAATGGACCTTGACTCCAAAGATTATTTCATGTACATGTAAAAAAGACATGGTAAGTAAAACAATTTCTGACTGTAATACTCAAGACTGATTTAAGGATGGGAATTTAACCCATAAAATAAAACCCAGAAGTGGTTGACCATCAGTTGATGATTATAATGATTTTAAATGACAGATTGGTCTGCATGGCTGAATTCCAGCCATTTGTGTTATTTTGTTGTTATTATTACTACTTCTTTGATGGCAGTAGCAACTGGTGGCTTCCACAGATCAAGTGACAACAAATTTCTTTAGTACACCAGCAATCTTCTTAGTATCTGTGATATTTTTTAATAATGTGACAGTCTTATAATCTCTTTAGCCTTGGTTAAAGCCAGATTATTTTGAAACACCAATTCCCATCTGATTACCACAGTTAAGCAACACTGAGACAAGTCAGGACTGAGATGGGTGTTCACTTGGGAATACTAGATGCTGTAATGCTGGATGTGGGGGTAGTGCAATGGACAACAGTTTGGAATAGGAAATCAGAGAGTTAAGTTTAAATTCCAGTTGAGTTTGTTACAGTAACTTACATTCAAATACCCTTGGAAAAGTACGAAGCCCCCAATTATGGATTAGATAGTAGGACACTGGATCCTACAGCCCTTGTTGACAACCAGTATATATAACAGTAGCCCCCTGCAGGAATTCTTATGTCAATTCAATCATGAGCACTCAAGTGTGCAACACACATGGCACCTAAGGAGAGAATGAAGCCTTGTTGGGTTACCAGTCTAGGAGAAAAAACCTGGTCATTATGAGATTGATTACACCTGTCTATTTAGTGATCACCTGTCACTAAAAAAAAACAAAAAAAAAACTATGCTGTTATTCTGCTTGTTTCTATATATGTATACTTTTCTATCTAGGATCAGATTGTAGTTTCTGCCTAATATATAAAGAGAGATAAAGAAGAGATATGGAGATGAAAGAAAGCTATACAAAAATGATGTCAAGGGATGTAGAAATTCCCAAGAGATTTAAATTTATTGTCAAATGCAGTTCAATGGAAAATGAGACAAAGACTCAGGCTTTGGAAACATTATAAATTTAATTAATTGTAGTTATTAAATCTACTTTGAAAATAAGTTTTCACATATAGAACTACAAGAGGCGGCAAAAAGGACATTTTTAACTTAAGGTCATTTATAATAATAATAATAATATCAGGACACTATAGTCTCAAATCCTCTGTAACCTCTTCATTTGCATGCTAGCCGCACTCCTACCTTGCTTAAGAATATATATATACAAAAGAACGAAATGTATGTATGTGCATTCGTGTGTATGCTTAAATAATGAATCTTAATACTTTCTCCAAGATGGTGTTTAAAGAAAAAAGAAAAAAGTGACTTTTAAAGAAGTCATTAATATTTACACTGGTATCTTTTCTTTAATTCTTAGCTTGCATTGAAAGTTGTTAATGTATTTTGCCAGCTTCTTGTATCAAATTAAAGGCAAATCCTCTTCTCATTATAAAAATGGCTTAGAAGCAAGGAATTCATTTAGACTTTTCTGAACTAATATATATATATATATATATATATATATATATATATATATATATATATATATATATATATATATATATATATATATATATATATATATATATATATATATATATATATATATATATATATATGGGAGGCACGGTGGAGTAATGGATAGCAGCTTGATTGAGGAATCATGAGAGCCGAGTTAATTCCAGTCGAATCCATTACATTCACTTACGTGCTAATACCCTTGGGAAAGGTATGAATTTGCTTGCTCTCCCTCCAGCTATGGGTAAAATAGCAGGACAGACTGGGTTCTATAGCCTTGGATGGCAACTGGTCTAGGGAGAAGGACAACCTGAAATCAAAAACCGGGGAAGGTCGTTTGGGAAACCTGGGGGCATTTGGGCACCCAGTTCCTGTATTCGTCCCTTCAAAAAGTGTGGATGGTCCTGCACGAGGCCTTCACCACTATAATCAAATCTCATGTGCCGGTGTCGGGCTGTTGGTTTCCTGAAAACTGATCTGCTTGACCATCATATGTTGAATCTCGACGCGAGAGTCGATTATTATATATATGTGTGTGTGTGTGTGTGTGTGTGTGTGTGTGTGTGTGTGTTTAAAACAGGATATAGAAACCCAATAAAGTTTTTTAAGAAATTTGTCAAATGAAAAACACATGGACAGACCTAAAAACATAAATCTTTTGCTTTCAACCCATTTTGAAGGAGTGGATGAGGATTTGCCTTGGATTAATTTCAGAAAAGGCCATATGAATCTCTTGTTTTCAAGGTAGATATATATATTGAAGCACTATTTAAATAACTAAATTGATGACCTGAAGATTGCTTCAAGCATCAGTGCCCACTTTTATATTAACAAACACTCTATCTCTGATACTGAGAACATTTACTCATAAATATAGCATATCTTAAAACTATATTTTTTATCATATGTATTTGTGTATGAACAGAGGAATCAACCTTGCATGGCAATTATACGTGTCATTCCTCAAGTGCTCTTCAAATTCGTTTAAAAATCACATGAAACTGACTATCACGATGCATTGTTGATTCCTCTGTTCTCACTGCATATATATACATACATGTATTTATTAACAGGTATATATGTGTGCATATGTGCATATATATTGCTTTCATACACATAAGTATACCTGGAAAATTTTCTCAACATCTATTGATTAATATCAATTTTATTGTGAAAAAATTGCTTTGTTTATGATATGCTCTCTCTCTCTCACTCTAATGTGTGTGTGTGCACATTTATGTTTGTATACATGTGCATATGTTCAAAGAGTAATCTATATATAAATGTCCAAGATTTTGATACACCTTATATTGCAATTAATGGTTTTTTCCTTCTCATTAATGGAATGGTATTGCATTGATTTATGTTTTGTCAAATTCTGGATTCTTGCATATCAGTTCGTAATCTCCAATGTTTCTTCTGACTAAAGCCACCAAAATAGCTGCACAAAGTGTGTGTGTGTGGGGGGGGGCATGTCCACAAAATGCAACAAAATAAATCCACTTTTCCAGCATTAAAAGAGAAATTCTGATAAACAATCCGCATCAACTGTTGTAAAAAAAAAAGAAAAGAAAAACTACAAATGTTGCAAAGCATAATAAAAAAAAAACATTCTAAAACAAAATATAATCTCCTTCAACATTCGGATTCTGGTTATAAATGTATTCAGCAATTGCCAACACATTTGGCTAATGAAGCGTCTTACTTGCCAATCCATAAAATAGAATGGCCAAAGTCAAGTGTCAAAATGTATTTGAACACAGGAAAGACACCATGTCTACATTAGCTTGAATCTAGTCAATGACCAGAAGTATGGTTGAAAGCCCGCTATCACAGATATTCAGATAATATCTACACTCACTGGACCCAAACATGTGCTCACTTGCAAGTTAAAAAACCAACAATCCTTTTTAGTTGTTTTTAATAAAACATATATAAATATATGATGGGGTGCTGAAAATTATATATATATTACACAACAGAGAAACCCAAAATTGTTTCATGGGTATAGTCTATTGCAGTTGATACCAAGTATGTCAGTCTTATTGAACCTAGACGGATACTGTATTTAAAATTTAACATAGACAGCATTTGAAAAATTTGATACAGAACCTACCCATATTGAAGCCTCAGCAGGACAGACTGCCCAAGAAGTAGTAAGGAGAGGGCAGAAGTTATCTGTCTTAAAAGGAAAGAAGCTTCACAAATTCAACCCAGATATTAACCTTAAGACTTCAAATTAGGGCTATAAAAAAGTTGGAATGTTAAAATGAAAACTAAAGAAAGGCTGAAAAAAGAGTTTTATAAAATGAAATTTTTAATTATTAATTATATAAAAATATTGGTTCCCACTAAAAATACCAAAATATGCTTACAAATAAGATATATATAAAGATTAACAATAAATCATATTTAGATAATTTATATTAAAAAAGAATATATGAAAAAAAAAAGTTTATATTATTAAGGAATAAAAATAAAAATATTTTAATGATAAATATATTATCCATTGAAAATTATAAAGATAAGTTAAATTATAAAGAAAACAAACCATACCCAGTAATATGTGTGTGTGTGTGTGTGTGTGTGTGTGTGTGTGTGTGTGTGTGTGTGTGTGTGTGTGTGTGAAAAGTGTGTATATAAATATAAAATATATATATATATATATATATATATATATATATGTAATATATATATTATTATTTATATATTATATGCGAGGTACTTATTACATTTATATAAACAATTAATGGATTTAAAAAAAATCTGACATGATTTCTTATTACTCTAATTTTTAAGATGCTTATGGGGTACATGTGTTTGAGCCAACATCATAGTGAAATTAGCACCTTGGAGTTTAGATCATTGAAACTCTTATTAAAGAAAATGTACCTCTGAGCTGGGAACAAACCTGCCAGGCTTTAAATTGGTTTCCCCAGAATAAAGAGAATGCTGGCTCAATCCCTGTTGATAGTTACATGTTTTTTTAATATGAGTTTTGATGTTCTAGGCTATAGACTACTTGAAAAAAGAGAAAAAACAAAAGAAAACATGCATGAATTACTTTTTTCCAGGATAAATAATTTTAGTATAAAATTAATTCTTCATAATTTTCACTATTCTTACTTACACATATTTTCTTCATTTCTTAGGATAAATTGCAAACAATCAATATTATTTAAGAAGTGCCAGTAGATAAAACTCCAGTTTGCTTAGTGAGAAAAAAAAAGCAGTGAATTAATTGCTTTCCTGTTCTTTTCCCTTTAAAGAGAGAGCATGAAAGAAAAAAAACAAAAGAGCGGGAAGTCAAAGAGATAAAAGCAGATTTATTCCTGCTTGCCTTCCAACCATATTAAGCTAGTAGACATGCTCTCTACATATTTTCTCCTGAAGTGTGGGTATTTTTATTACTCTAGGCAGCAGAAATCAAAAATTTGCCCATTCAAAGGATTAAATCTTTCCTTATAACAGATTTAAATAAGAAATGGATAGTTAGTCAATTTGCAAGTTTCTTTTGTTGCTGATTCTGATTTATTTTATATGATTAATCACTACCGAAGAATTTATATAGAATGTTTGGTGACTGTAGTGACACATCAAAAGTTACTAGTTTACTGCTTTTTTAAAAAGACTTCACCCATAGATAGTATTTTTGAGCCCTTCTTAAGACTTGGATTAAGTCATGTGATTGCTACCCAGAATTTTCTTTTTTACTAGTTCACACTGTGAATAAAAAGGAGAAAGTGACAAAATTTATTTCTTTGTGATTAGAAGGGCAAAGTTTTCATTCATTTATCCATTCCAATGCCTTAAAATTTAATTTTAAATATTTTAAAAAAATGCATAAAAAAGTAAACTAGCACCTAAATTTTTTGTTAGAGTAAAGCTTTGATT